ACCAAAATGTGAAACACACACACACACACACATACACGTAACTCCCTCATAGTAGGAATTTCTCATGAACTTCTAGAAGATTGTTTATTTGTTTGGTAGGCAGAGAGAGTAAGCTCTCACCTGACGAAGCAATCCCTGAAATGCCTGCAATGGCAGAGACAGCCAGGCGGAAACCAAGGATCTAGGGGAGCAATCCCAGTCCCAACATGTGTCCTGCGTGACAGGGACGCAGCTACTCGAGTCAGCCGTTCCCTGATGCCTCCAAGGCCATGAATGAGCAGACAGTCGGAATGGGGAAGAGGACTGGCACAGGAACCCTGGCACTCTGATACAGAATGAAGGCATCCCTAGTGGCATCTTCACCTCTCTGCTGAGTCACCGTGCCTGTCCCCATACGACTGCTGGCCACATTTTACAAATCAGGACATAACAGGGGGAAATAAGTTATGTGTCCTAATGCATAGTAAGATGCAAGGATGATGTACATTTGAAAGCTATAAGAAAGGATTTTGAATGTTTTACCCCCCATGAAAATTATAAAAATTTAAAGAGATTAACATGCTTTCTCTGATTTGAACATGACACTAGGAATATATATGTGTATATCAAAAAGCAAAGGATTCTTTCTAAACATGTGTAATATTTATATGTCAATCAGAAAATACAAATTAGGTAAAGAAAGCAGAGAGAAGTTCAGTAACTTATCTAAAATCACAAACTGCACATTTAGCGGCAGTAGGAAATCAAAATAATGATACACAAGCCACACTGCAAGTCCGGAAGTGCAGAAGTGACTTCGTTACGAACACGTGTCAGCAGGAAGGCACGAGCCTGAGCAGCCGGTGCAGACCTTCTCTTTGGAAACACACCGATAGCACCAGGTACTCGGTGCCGGCCTGGCCGCCGGGCACCCACTGCAGCTCTGAACTCCTGCACGAGACACACTGCAGTGCTCACCTCACAGCAGGGAATCAAGAATCAAGGAGCTTACGTGACAGAGCCAGTGTTTGACCCCACACCTATCTGTATATAAAGTCCATTCTTAGACCACATACCAACGCTTCCTAAAATATGTTGTACATGTAACATAAATCAGCATATTTTAACAGTTACATGTTTGTTTTAATTTCATTTACTTAGAAAAAAATCTATATGACAACTTTTTGTATCAGATATAATACTACATAAAGTGAGGTTGCTTTATAAAATAAATGCAAAGAAAAAGTATGAAGCAAATAATAGTAGAAGCAGAAAAAATGGGCCATAAATGTTAGAGGTCGTAGGAGATGTCTCACTAAGTACTGAGCAGTTTCCTTCTCCGTCATGCCCAGAAAATCATAGCCACGCGGCCGCAGGGAGAGCGACAGGTTAAGCATTTGGGGCCTAGATGAGTGTTCACCCTGGATGTGTCATCATTACCTTCATGAACTTGCATATTTCATTTGATGTCTCTGATCTTCAATTTCTGAAAGAAAAAGAGGGAATATGATCAAATTAATATAGCCCTTTTGAAAGCAATTTGAGAACAGAATCAAAAATTCACAAAACTATTCTTTTCAGTATGTACTTTTTTTATTTGAAATGCAGACCTGCAAAAAAAAAAAGAGAGAAAAGGAGAGGGAGAGAGAGGAGGAGAGAGAGAGAGAGATCTTCCATCTACTGGTTCACTTCCCAAATGGCAGTAACAGCCAGTGCTGAGCCAGGCAAGAGCCAGGAGCCAGGAGCTTCATCCAGATCTGCAAACGCATGAGGGACCCAAGCACTTAGGCCAGCACCCATTGCTCTCCTAGGTACATTAGAAGGAAAACTAGATTGTAAATGGGGCAGCTCAGATTCAAGCCAGTGCCCAAATGGGGTGCCGGCATTGTAGGCAGCAGCTTAACCCACTATGCCACAACATTGGCCCTACAAAATTGTTCCTAACTTTTGACCAGGTAATTTCCCTTTGAGAATGCTCTACCAAGAAAATAACCCAAAACTTGGAAAAAGATTTTCAAGAACAAAGAAATTAAGCAATACGATATCTCAAAATAAAACAATCTAAATATTCAAAGTAGAACAGCTGAATAACTAGGATACATATACTTGGAGCAAGTATTATGCAGTCACTAAAAATGCAGTGGGGGCAGGCATTTGGTGACTCAATTATGGCACCATTCAAGATACCTGCATCTCCCATTGCAGTGCCAGTTCCAGTCTCAACTCCTTTACCCCCGATCCAGCTTCCTGTTAACGCCCAGCCTGGGAAGTGGCGATGATGCCCTAAGCACTGGGTCCCTGCCACCTACAAGGGACATGGTGATGTGAGTTTTGCCTCCTGGATTCCGCCTGGCCCATCCCTGGCTTTGCAGTTGTTTGGAGAGTGAATCGAGAGATGGAAGATTCTGTCTCTGCTTCTCTTTCTCCACAGAAAAATGAAAATTGACAAAATTTTTTAAAATGTAATATCATAAAAAGATACCAATGTGCATATAAAGTTAAGAGAAATCTGTTCACATTACTATGGCAACCGCCATTTACAGAAAGACAGATGTAAGTAACAAATATACCAGAATACCAATGGTTAATAAGAATAATGATCTCTTTGCACTTTCAAAATTTTTTCCAATGTAATGAGATTAAAATGGAAAGGATGAAAAGCACCAGGCTAAGGGATTTACCTATGTAATCTCCAAGACTGCTTCTGGCTCTAATATTCTGTGGCTTTTCTCTGGAAATGGGAGTGGAGATGAAGGACACAAACACCAGAGTTTAGCAGTTCTCTGTTCATGCTCCAGAACAGCATGAGAACATCTGGGATGGTGCAACTCCTCCATGTGAGTGGCAGAAAGGGCACGAGTCTGGGAAAGAGGAGACCTAAGTTGAACCAGACGATCTTGAGGGACCATGAGGCCTAACCATGAGGCTGGATGGTCACTGGACCATTCCTTCAGAGTCTAGTGAGAGAGAAAGACTGCATCTTCATCTTCTACGGCTGCTGAAACCAAACACCCCAGATCAGTGGCTTAAGCATCAAGAACTCATTCTTTCACAGTCCTGGAGGCTAGAAGAGGCTAGAAACCCAAGAATAAGCTGCCTTCAGGTTCAGTTTATTTTCCCATGCAGCTGTTAACTGGGTACAACCTTGCTCAGCTTCTGGGACCAGACAAGAACAGGCATGTTAAGTGCAGTTGCCACAGACTGGCCTCTCCCCTTGACTTGGTCTGGGGCTGATGTAACAAAGAAGACCAGGTGACTTACAAACAAGAGAAGCTCATTCCTCAGAGTCTCAGCACACCTGGGCTGTGGTCAGGGTCCTCCTCATTGCAAACCCCTGGCTTGCTCCTGCATCTTCACCTGCCAGGAGGACAGCGACAGTGCTCTCTGGGTCCCATTCACAAGGGCACTAATTCCCCATATGCGGGCTCTACCCTCTGACATAATTACCTCTCAGGCTCCCACCTCCTACTGCTGTCCCACTAGAGGTTACATTTCAACCTGCCAACTTTTAGAGGGACACATTCAGGCCACAGTGCTGGCCTCCATGCTATATCCTCACATTGTTGTTCCTCTGGGGTCTCTCTTGGCTAAATCTCCTCTTGGAAGGACCCCAGTTGGAACAGTAGGGCTCATCACAACAGCCTCCTTTCAACTTCACCATCTCTTGACAAGTCCTGTTCTGAAGGACTGGAGATGGAGGCTTCAGCATGTGACTTCGGGAACACACAATCCACTTCACCACAGATGTCCTGAAATTATAAACTATAACTGTGTAATAACAGAGCCGTGTTCAACAGGATAGAAACCAGATGAAAGCATAATAAATTCTGACAGGAAACATCAGAAACAACCACACACTGGAGACGTATCTGGGCCCAGTTCTAGCGTGAGGACTTCAGGCTTACAAACCACCATCCTTTTTAGATATCATCAAATGGAGATTAGATGGACTCAAATGATAAAACAGCCTCAGACAGAGGACAACATGGATGTATTTGTTCTAGAGAAACAGCGATCAATTCCTGCCTCTTATGGCTAAATGGAGATGATAGATTGAACACAGCAAGTTGGAGTCAAGTGAAAATCTTGGCTCAAATGCTGATCTGCTCCCTTCTCCTCAAGTCATGACAATTTTACGAGAGGAGTGGGGAAAAGCATAAGGTCTTAATAAACTTCCTAATTTGTTCTCTTCTGCCCAAAAACTATTTTCTCCAAAGCCTTCAACTAAGCTTTCCATTCTAGGTCAGATTTTAAGCCTCAATTCCTTTTCCATTTAAATATCTCTCTCTTTCTCTCTCTCACTACCTTTCAAATAAATAAAAATAATTTTAAAAACAAAGAGATCTTCTATCCACTGGCTCACTCCTCAAATGGCTGTCATGCTCCAGCTGTGGGCTAAGCTGAAGCCAGAAGCCTGGAACTCCCTCCAGTTATCCCATATAGGTGGCACGGGACATCTGTTACAGCTTTCCCATGAATATTAGCAATGAACTGAATTGAAAGTGGCACTTACATGGAATGAAGACATTGAAGGTGACAGCTTAACCCACTGGCCCACAATGCCAGCACCTCTGTTTAAATTTTCATTTTGCTTGAAAGAGAGGGAAGGAGAGAAGAAAGAGAGAGAGAGATCCTCCATCCACTAGTTCACTCCTCAAATGTTTTCAAGACTCAGGTCTAGGTCAGGCCAAAGCCAGGGAGCTGACATTCCATTTGGCTCTCCACATGGGTGGCAGGGATCCAAGCCCCGGTCCATCACCTGCTGACACTTCCCAGGGTATACCTTAGCAGGAAGCTGGATCTGAGGAAGGGCCGTCAGCATTTGAACTGATCCCTCCAACACGGCACATGAGCATCCTAAGAAATGACTTAGTCGTTACACCATATGCCTGCCCTCTCTTGAAAGAACCTAGATTTCTGAAGTGAAAGAGGAGAATCTGACCTCTGCTGCCCTGGGTTGCACGTTTCCATGGGTCTTGTCCCTTTCCAGTGCCTGGGAATGACCTGTTTTCTTCCAACAGAGGTCGCCAGAGGCCACAAGGACCAGCGCCAAACTTCTGGGCGGTGGCTCTGGGAAGATGGCCAAGAATGTGAGTGCAAAGGTCAGTAACAAGGCATCAACAACAGCAATGGTATCACCATGACCCTGGCTCTATCCCTTAAGCCCTCTGAGACCAGTGCAGATGTTATCTGAACTGACTTCAGCCACCGCCCTCCACCACGCTCAGCACCAACACCTGTTTCCTTACTGAGTCAGGGTCTGCAGGAGAACCATCTGAATCTCAAGATGCCTCCTCCCCTACTTGAGCTTTTTCCTGAGAACCAGGTCTCCTTTCCAAAATGCCTTCCGAGAGCTTCCTTTCCCTCACTGGAAAGAATGAAAGCAGAGAGGCAAAATAGCTGCCAGAGATGAGGCAAACTCCAAAACACAGACACCAGGGTCTGACTACCGAGTTTTCTTGCCAGTCTTGCCTTATGCATCCTCCAAATCTGCCAGCAAACCGTGCTCACATCGGTCATTAAACCCATGTGTTCACGCAGCTGTACGTCCCCATTCTTCTGTGTTGAATCTGCTGCAGGCTGAGAGGAAATGAAGGCAGGGAAAGCCAGCCTCCTCCCTACTCAAACATGCGGGCGCTCCCGTCTAAGCAGGGTTATCTGTCATTTCAGGCTGGTTCCTGAGAGCTCCTAAAAGAAAACTCATGACGGTTCATGGGCAAGCAAAGAAACACTGTCCGTGTGATCACTTCAAGGGCACTGCGAAGAAAACCAGTAAGTTGTAAGGGATGGCCTTCATAAACCAGTCTTGTGAAATCAGAAGCGAAGTAGGGGTTGAGCATAGAGAGGAAGGGTAAGACCAGGTGGGCACACAGCTCAACCCCTCCCATTTGGTGTCAGCTTGTGCAGAAACACAAAGAACGTTTCCAATAAAAATAAAAGGAAATGTAGGATTCAATTCTCTAGGTAGAAGAACAGGTTAATCCAATTCCTGAATTGAGGTCCTGCCCACTGATCTTTGAAGAAGACACTAACATTAGCGTCTGTCAGAACTGAACTCCTGGGGTCAGTGCAGTGATGTAGCATGCTAATCCTCTGCCTGTGGTGCTAGCATTCCATACAGGTGCCAGTTCTAGCTCCAACTGCTCCAGTTCCAATCCAGCGTCCTGCTAGCATGCATGGGAAAGGGACAGAGGATGGTTCAAGTCTTTGGACCCCTGTACCTACATTAGACACAGAAGAAGCTCCTGGCTCCCAGCTTCAGACTGGCCCAGCTCTGGTCTTTAAAAACATTTAGGGAGTAAATCAGCAGATGAAAGATCTCTCTCTCTCTCCCTGTCTGTATGTCTCTTTCTCTCTAACTCGACTTTCAAGCAAAATTTTAAAAATCCTTAAAAAAGAGAGGGAGAGAACTGACCTCATTTCTAGTTCAGTAATTTTTCAGCAGCATATAAAAAGTAAATTAGTGGGCCCAGCGCAGAAGCCTAGTGGCTAAAATCCTCATCTTAAATGTGGTGGGATCCCATATGGGTGCCAGTTCTAATCCCGGCAGCTCCACTTCCCATCCAGCTCCCTGCTTGTGACCTGGGAAAGCAGTCAAGGACGGCCCAAAGCCTTGGGACCCTGCACCCATGTGGGAGACCCGGAAAGAAGTTCCTGGCTCCTAGCTTCAGATCGGCTCAGCGTCAGCTATTGCAGCCACTTGGGGAGTGAATCATCAGATGGAAGATCTTTGTCTCTGTCTCTCCTCCTCTCTGTACATCTGCCTTTCCAATAAAATAAATAAATCTTTTTAAAAAAAAACACCTATATCACAAAAATTAATTTCAGGTGGATTAAGATCAAAATATACGAAATCTATATAAATAGTATATTCACAAGCCTTGGATAAGGAAAGACTTATTTTTACTTCTCTTTTTTTCTATATTTTATTTAAGAGACATTTTAAAGAGCTCCTGTCCGCTGGCTTATGCTCCCTAACTGCCCACAATGGCCAGGGCTGATCAAGGTTGAAACCTGAAGCCAGAAACTCAGCCTGGGTCTGCCACGTGGATGGGAGGTACCCATCTACCTGAGCTATTACCGGCTGCTTCCAAGCTGTACGTTAGCAGGAAACCAGAATTAGGAGCAGAGATGGGACTCAAACTCACGGAGTCCTATATGTAATGTTGGTGCACCAACTAGCACCCTAACCACTCTACCCATCAATCCCCCACACCAAGAAGTATTTCTTAAACAAGATATAAAATGTGCCACCTATAATATGGAAGACTGATATGTCTAACTTCATTCAAGTTTAACAAAATTTGGTTATCAATGGATAAAACCGTAAGCTTCAGAGTTGATGTAATATGCAACATATATAGCCTACATAATATTCAGAGTACATAAAGAATTCTTGAGGGGTCACTATGATGGCTTAACCTGCTTACCCTTTACTCGCAAGCAACAGCATCCCCTATGGGCACAGTTTGCATCCCACCTGCTCCATTTCCCATCCAGCCATGTGGGAGACACAGAAGAAACTCCTGACTCCTGGCTTCAGAGAAGTTCAGCTCCAGCCACTGTGGCCATTTGGGGAAGGAACTAGCAGATGGAAGATCTTTCTCTGTCTCTCCTCTCTGTGAATCTCTCTGTAAATATATATATATATATTTTTTTCAATATATATATATATTTTTTTTTCAATAATTCTTGGGACTGGCACAAGCTAAACTACTACCTGCACATCCGGCATTTAAAGGTACCAGTTCAAGTTGTAGCCATTTCACTTCCAATCTAGAGCCTGCTAATGTACCTGGGAATGCATTGGAAGAGAGCTCAAGTACTTGGGCCCCTGCACCCACATGGGAGACCCAGACACTCCCGGCACCACGCTTTGGTCTGGCCTGGTTTGGGATGAACCAGAGATGGAACATCCCTTTCTGTGTGACTTTCTCAATTAAAGGTCTTTGTTCTACTTCACTCTCTGTGCCTTCCCAAAAAGCAAAAATAAATATATTTTAAAAGATTTACTTAATTTGTTTGGAAAGGCTGATTTACAGAGAAGAAGAGACAAAGATCTGCCATCTGATGGTTCACTCCCCAAATGGCTGCAATGGTCAAAGCTGAGCCCATCTGAAGCCAGGAGCCAGGAACTTCTTCTGGGTCTTCCATATAGTTACAGGGTTCCAAATCGAGCCATCCTCGACTGCTTTCCCAAGCCACAAGCAGGGAGCTGAATGGGAAATGGAGCAGCCAGGACACGAACCAATGCCCATATGGGATCCCGCCACCTGCAAGGTGAGGATTTAGTGACTGGTTAAAAAAATAATCTCTATAGATCAATGAGAGGAAGGCAGGCAATACAACAGATAAATTGGCAAAATATATATATAGCCACTGCACAGATGAAGAAATCCAAATAGTGAGTTAATAAATGAAATAGTACTCAACATAACTACTGGAAAATGTGAAAATCAAAATGAGGGCAGGGTTCTGTCTAGCAGATAACATGCTGGTTGGAATGTCAGTATCCCACCTCATGGAACCTGGATTCAATTCCTGGCTCCAGCTCCTGATCCCAGCTTCCTGCTAATGCAGACCCTGGAGGCAGAGACAATAACTCAAATAATTGGTTCCTGCCACCAGTGTGAGAGACCTGTGTTGTGTGCCTGACTGCTGACTTTAGCTCTGGGCCCAGTCCTGGCCACTGCAAGCAACTGGTAAGTCAAACAGTAGATGAGAACCTCTCTCTGCCCCTCTTCCTCCTAAACAACAGCTCTCTGTATATCTCTCTCTCAAGTAAATCATTTTAAAATGAGGTATCAGTATATAGTCATGATAAAAACAGAAGTTTTTAAGTCTGACAAGACCAAGCTTACTGACAAGACCGCACTTGCCACAGTTGCAAACCCTGCACACATCTTTTAAATGTTTCTTTTTAATGATTTAAAAAGTAAAATGAGATAGAGACAGAGACAGAGTGAGGTCTTCCACCCACTGGTTCATTTATCAAATCTCCACAACAACCAGGGCTAGGCCAAGCCTGAGCCAGGAGCCTAGAACTCATCCAGGTCTTCCACTTGGGTGGCAGGGACCTAAGGCCCGACCATCACTTGCTGCTTTCCCGGCATTAGCAGCAAGCTGGATCAGAAGCAGAGATGAGACTTGATCCCAGGCACTCACAAAGTGTATGTGGGTTTCCAAAGCAATGGCCTAACTCCCACGTGGGTGCAGGGTCCCAAAGCTTTGCGCCGTCCTCGATTGCTTTCCTGGGCCACAGGCAGGGAGCTGGATGGGAAGCGGGGCTGGCGCCCATATGGGATCCCAGGCATGCAAGGCAAGGACCTTAACCACTGCGCCACCACGCCGGACCCTACCATCACTGAATTTTTTAAAAGACACAGAAAAGGGCCCAGCCTAGTGGTTAAATTCTCATGTTGCATGCACTGGAATCCCATATAGGCACTGGTTTGAGTCCCAGATGCTCCACTTTCCTTCCAGCTCCCTGCTTATGGCTTGGGAAAGCAGTGGAGGACGACCTAGGGCCTTGGGACCAGAGGGGGCTCCTGGCTTCGAATCAGCTTTTGCCTAGCTCTGGCCTTTGCAGCCACATGGGGAGTGAATCAGCAGATGGAAGATCTTTTTCTCTGTCTCTCCTGTTAATCTGGGTTTCTAAGTAAAAAATAAATATTAAAAAAAAAAGCACCCACACAGAAGAATTGGTATTTGGTACATTAGTTAAGACAGCTCTTGGGACACTTATGTCCCATATCATAGTGCCTAGGTTGTACTCCTGGTCCACTCCCAGTTCCAATGTCCTGCTAGTGTATACCATGGGAGACAGCAGATAATGGCTCAAGTAGCTGGGTCCCTGTCACCCACATGGGAGACCCCAACTGAACTCCTAGCTCCTAACTTCAGTCTAGCCAGACCCAGCATTGTAGACATTTGGGGAATAAAGAGGCAGAGTTCTATCTCTTTTTGCTTTTTAAAGTAATGAGCTTTAAAATAACCTCCTAGGATTGGCACTGTGGCACAGAAGGTTAAGCCATGCCTACAGTACCAGCATCTTACAGGGGGTGCCAGTTCAAGTTCCAGCTGCTCCACTTCTGACCCAGTTCTCTGCTAATACACCAGGGAAAGCAGTGGAAAATGGTCCAAGTGCTTGGGTCACTGCCATCCCCGTGGGAGACCAGGAAGAGGCTCATGGTTTCTGGCTTCCACCACCTGGCGCAGCCCCAGCCATTGCCACCATCTGGGAAGTGAACAAGCAGACGGAAGGTCATGCCATCTATCTCTCCTTCTCCATCACTCTGCCTCTAAAATAAATAAATATTAATATTGCCTTAGTCCGACTCAGCAGCTACAACAAAATGCCACAGAGCAGTTACAAATAGGAAAATTTATCACAGTTCTAGAAGTTGGGAAAGATAAGAAGTTGGAAAATCAGTTTGATTGCCGAGTCATTATTAACTCCTATATTTAGATGTGTATTTTGCAATAGTAAAATATTTATTAAGGGTGAAGAGCAAAGCAGTAAGTATAGTATAATCTCATTTCTGCTTTTTGAAGTAAACCACTATGTTTATACAGCAAAAGTCATGGAGGTGTAGCTGGTGATTAACAGTGATTAGCTCTGGAGAGTAGGTAGCAGGATTTGGGATGCTTTTTTACTTTTCGTTGGAATTTTTTTTTTCCTACTAGACAAGTATTAACTAACCATTTAGAAGCACTCATAAAAATTAAATGTCAAGCACGTTTTTAAGGAGTGGATATTAGGTGCAGCAAACTGCCCACCTGTGACATCCAAATCCCATGTTGAAGTGCCCGGATTCAAGCCCTTTCTCTGTCCTCCGTTCCAGCTTCCTGCTGATGTGCACCCTGGGAGGCAGCAGGCGGTGGCTCCTGGACACAGGTCCCTACTGCCCATGCTGAAGACCCAGAATGAGTTTCTGGCTCTTGGTTTGGCCTGGCCCTGCACCTGCTACTGTGGACATCTGGGGAATCAAAAAGCAGATGGGATATTTCTCTTTGCCACTCTTTCAAAGAAAATTTTAATTATTAACACATTTTTTTTTTCATCTTAGGACATCAAAAGTACCGCCGGCACCCAAACAAGCACTCCAGAGCCTGCCAGCAATTCCTCAAACGGTGTCAACTAGCAAGCCTTGCTTTGCCCCTGTAGGAGCTCCAAGAGCCCACTCTGCTTCCGGAACATTCTCAGGCCAGAGGGCAGTCAGTGTGCCTAGAGAATGTTCTTCATCTTTCCACACCTTAGTTTCACCCTCTAAATCATTCCAGTGCTCTCAAAGGGCATTTTCCCAAGATCATATTAATTACCATTCCTCCTGGAAAGATCCAGAAAACCCCAGCTTCCTAGCCAGTCTCAACCCTAAATACAGGCAGAAAGTAGCAAACAGAAGTCAGTAAATATTGTTACATGTTAACAGGTCAAAAATACTTCTCTCAGGCAGGGTCTGCCCAGTCAGTTCACTCCAAAGCCAGCCCTAGTATAAACACATTTTCTACCACCATGATCCTTACTTTTTCTCCACTGTCCAGCCTCTTCAGTTTTTCAACAAATTTCTGTAGGTAAGAGCTAGGGACAAGAAAACCAGGTATAGGGGCTGGTATTGTGGCATAGCAGGCACCACTTCTGATGTGGCATCCTAAATGGGCACTAGTTTGCGTCCTGGCTTCTCCACTTCTGACCCAGCTTCCTGCTAATGTGCCTGGAAAAGCAGCAGGAGAAGGCGTGAGTGCTTGGACCCCTGCAATCACGTTGGAGACCAAGAAGAAGCTCCTGGATTTGACCTAGCACAGCCCTGACCACTGTGCCCATTCAGAGTGTAAACCAGCGGTTAGAAGATTCATTGATCTCTCTCTTTCCCTCTGCCTCTGCAACTGCCTTTCAAACAAATTTTTTTAAAAAAAAACTGTAAAAATAAACAATGAGTTAGTAATGATCTTATTAAAGATAACGTTTAAAAACTAAATTTTCTAACATATAAGTGGTTGCCTTCAGTATTTATGATTTTTAAATATGTGTATATATATTTTAAATATATATTAGCTATATATGCAGAATGTAATTCGGGGCTAGAAAAATAGTGTAGAAACCTCAAAAACCATTTAAAAGAGCTTAAAGCTGTAAAAACTATATATAAATATATATATATATATATTATGTATCTATTATATAGCATGGGAGTGATCAAAACAACATTATAAGCAGTTTATAAGCATTATAAGCAGTGGAAAAAATTAATGTAGCCAGAATAGACAATACCTCCCCTCTGGCCCATTTCTCAAAGATCAAAAAGTGAGGGAATAAGGGACCACTCAACTAGAATATGGTTTCTGTCTATCTAAACAGAAGACAAATTTGGGACGCTTGACTAATGGGAAAAAACATTTTAACTGAATGATGAGTGGGGTGGGGCCCTATTTATGACACAAGAGGGCAAGCCCCTCCCCTCTGCTAAGCAGTGTTAGGCACACAGCCTGCTCCTATCCCTAATTCTCTCACCTCAAAAGAAGGAGCACCCCGGGGCACAGGAGTTGGGGCAGCAGTGTCAGCCCTATAGTCAGCTGCCTTAAAAAGGAAAACCAAGGATGCCAGGATGAAGGATTGGAACACCAAGCGAGGTGCCATCATGAGACATCTGTGAAGAGGAAGGCCCAAGGCACCCAGAAGGATGAATCCTGGGACACCAACCTCTCCTGCGAAGGAGACAGCAACATTAGAACCTGGTTCTAAGTCAGTGCCTAAGACGGATCAGACACCTGAGTCACAGCAGATACCCAGGACACCGCCACAGCTTCAACCAGAGATGACAGCCAAGCCAAGGACGAAGACTCTGCAGGAATCCAGTGCCCGACAGGAGCCTCCTTCACAGCAAAGGCCGTCCACCCAGCAGGAAGCCCTTGCTCAGCCTGAAGCCAAACCCCAGCAGCAGGCTGGACCCCAACCAAAACCTACTGTACCACAGCAGGGACCTGCTGCCTCACAGGAGTCTACACAACAATCACCTCCCATCCAAAGGCCATCCCTCATGCCACAGGAAGCCACCTCCCGGCAGGGACTCAGCCCAAGGAAAGACTCAACAACTCCACGGAAATCAGAATCGAGAGAAGATCATGTAATCAGGGCAGTATTTGAACCGGTAGAGTCCCCCGTAGCCCAGCATTCTAAACGTGCATCCACAAAGGGCCCACCTGCCCCGGCTGACCCTGCATCCCAAGACAGAAGCCAACTCCCAGAATCTCTGGCTCAGCAAACAACTCCAGGGCAGGGAGCCAGCTCCAGGCGGGAATCTTTGACCGAGGACCATTTCCCCATGAGAAATCCGCAAGAAACCGCCACGACGCTGCAAGAGATATCCACACAGCCGCCTCCCCAAGAATGGAAGACGTTTTTGGAGTGGGCCATGGATTCTGACTCAGAATCAGAAGGCGGATATTCAGACACAGATATTCTAGGTGTGAGAGGTGAAGCTGAGGTGCAGGAAGACATGCCAGATTTCAAAGAGAAATCGAGTCAGGAGGGGCTATCAAGACATGGCAGGCTGTTCTATAGGAAGAAAGCCAACCTCCAGGGTCACAGACACTACCGGGACACAGGTGAGTCTGAATCCGCACCAGCTAGGGCCTCTTAGGAACAGTCCTCCATTCATCCGTGAAATATTGTAAGTAGGATTAGCCTTCAATAATTCCGTGAGATAAAGATCTACATCCCCATTTGGGAGGTGAGGCGGAAAGACAGGGAAGCAAGGGTCTCGCAGAAGGCAGGTTCCGTTAGCAAGTGGCAAAGTGGGGATTCTGCCTCCGCCCTGCTGCAGGCTGCCTCCCTGCCAATGCCAAGGCTTGGGGGCAAATGCAACACCCCCGTGAGGAGGTGGGGGCGAGCTCCAGGCTGGGCAGCTGGGCCCCCTGCCCCAGGGCCCGTCAGCATTCAGCCCCTGCCCGGGCACCTGACCTAGCAGCTGCTCCAGGGCAGCTCTGAAAGCGGACCTTGGCCTCGGGGAGCTAAGCAGAACCCTGTGGCAGTCGCCCAGGTCTGTCCTTGGCTGCCAACCTTGCCTGCCAATGCCCTGGGGCTTCGGGCAGCAGGGCACTCTGGAAGCCACGAGGTCCCAGGTCAGGAGCCTGGGAGAAGGGAAACAGGGCAAGTGGCACCAGTGGGGCAGGCGCAAGATTCCCCCTGCTCCTCACCTTCTGCGGCTCTTCAGGCCCTGACCCTCCTCCTCTAACTCCTACGCGCAGAACGAAACACCACGCAGTTTTGTCCATGGAACTGGGGGTGACTCATTGAGGTATCCCGAGAGGGGGCAGGAACCACTGCAGGACCTATCCTGAACGTGCCGGCACCCATACGCCCATAGTGCTCCCGAGAGGCCGCCATGGTGGAGTCTTCGAGAAAAGCTAGGCGGTCTCTCTCAGCGCTGAAGAGCACTGGGTAACTAGTGCCCTCCAAGGCTGGAGTGCTTGTGTCCTTTGGGAGGAGCGGAGCCACCAGGGCTTCTGTTTTTCCGACCCTGACGACAAAACAAGCTGTCCGGGCTTCCAGGGCCTGGTTTTCCGGCACCACCACGCCAACGTCGCCGCTGTCCCCTCTCAGCGGCAGTTGGCTTGTGTTGCGCACGCGCGAGCCTCGCGCCTCCACGGGTTCCCGCCTTTTATTCTGGGCACGCACTGCTGCGCTTCCTTCCGCTCCTCGCGGCCAGCCAGTGCGCAGGCGCCCGGCATCCTCCGGCCTTCCCTCGGTTTCCCGGGAGGAGAGGAGAGCGAGGGTGGAGAGATTAAAGAACCCAGAGAGAGACTGCGGCGGACAGGGGAGGAGGGGGGGAAAGGCGGGGCTTCCTCCAACCGAGGCTCCCAGGCCGAGCCACACCTCCTGGGCTGGCGCCCCGCTCCGGCCTCGAGGCGCCCGCCTCCCGGAGGAGGCTGCTCGGCGCCCCGTGTCCCCTTCCAGCGGGCGGGCGGGCGTGCACGGGCCGCGTTCTAGGGGATCCCAGCGTGGGAAGGTGAGTGGGGATAGCGAGGCTGAAGCCCGGCCCGAGAGACGATCGGAACTTCCCCGGTAGAGGTGACCCCCCAGGCTCCCAGGTTAGACCTTGCCCGGAGGACGGAGGACGCCTCCTGGGCTGCAAATCGTCCTTGGCCGCGGGCCCTTTAACGAGCGCAGTGGGCGAGGCCAGGCCGGGCCAGGCCGTCCCTCCAGGAGCTGGAGGCGGGATCCGGGCCCGGGGAGGCGCGGCCACGAGTGCTGGGCGGGCGGATCCTGCAGAGCAGCGAGCCCCGGATTGGGTGCGATGGGGGCCCGGCGGTGGTGTGTAGTAAGGATTGGCCCTCGGGGCGGGACCTGGCGGCTGGAATTGGCCCCCGCGCGGGGGCCGCCGAGAATTGATGGAATCGGCCAGGGGCACGGGGCCCACCGGGGCCGATGGGGCCGATGGGGCCGACGGTGCCCGGGCCTCGAAGAGGGCCAGCGAGGGGTCGAAGACCCGCAGTCGCCGGCGGTGGCGTAAAGGCAAGGCCAAAGGTGAGCGCACCGGAGGGGTCGAGCCAGCTGGGGAAGGAAGCCAGCACATCCTGCCGGCGGGGGACTGGGGTGGGGAGGTGGATAGTGGACGGACCCACAGCCCTGAGAACGGGGGAGCGCGCGCACTGGCCGGTGACTGTCCTGAGAGGGGGTGCGGGAACGAGTCATTTGGAGAAGGATGCGTGCAGGACCGTGCTGGGTGGGAGCAGAGTCCTGGGAATGCAAGCCTCTTGGAACAGGGTTCTCACTGGGTGGGGTGGGGAGGGTCCCGCTCACTCGGGTTGTGTGTTTCCCGTGGGTTCAAGGTGCAATTGCTGCTGCTCCCAGCCTCCGTGTCCCCCCACCACCACCCTGCTAATAATCAGAGGGCTTGAGAGGGTCGTGGAGAAGTTTGCCTTCTGTTACCCCAAAGAGGAAGTTTAGGGGTGAGTCAGAAAAAGTCAGAAATGGGTGCCTCGTTGTGGTGAGTACAGCGGAGCTTCCCCTCGCCCCCCGCTGACCCCCACCTCCCACAACTCCGGCTCACGAAGGCATTCATCCCATCCTTGCCCCTGCACCTGCTTCAGGCCAGCTGCCCCCGCTGCTTCCAGAGAGCAGGTCTGTCTGTCCAGGGAAAGACCTGCATCTGAAGTTCCCATGCAAGAAGGAAACTGACATGACCCCCTAGCCCCAGCGACCCCCATCTTCCGCTCTCCCTGCACTGGGTCATTAGCCAGCCAGCAACATGGCTCCGGATGCACATGCGCCAGCTCAGACAGGCTTAGAGAGGCTCAGGGCTCAGACGGGAGCCCCAGGGCACTCACTGTGGCACACAGCACCACACTGAGCCTGGTGAGCAGGATGGCATTCCCCAGGGCAGCACAGATCATGGGCGTCAGAGACTCTGGTCCCCAGGCTAGGAGCAACAATGTGCTGGGCAGGAGTTCCCGTCTTCCTTGCCTCTGTTATGAAATGGGCTTGAGAAGTACTGCACTAACAGACCTGGACCAGAGAGGGAAGCTGACCTCCAGAGGTTCCTAGGGGGCAGAGGGGACAGCACTGGGTGGTGACTGGATGAGGGGGTGCAGTAGTGGGGGAGGAGGCCGGGTTTGGATGAGGGGACAGCAAAGCCTCGGGAGGGATACAGGTGATTGCTGTCCTGCGTGACAATGACCACCCTGAGAGCAAGTCGCTGCCTGCCCTGTTTACCCTGTGTTGTCAGAGCCTGGTGTTATCGGGCACACAGACGCTCGGATATTTACTGGATTAATAACTGAAGGAATGCGTGAGTGGCAACACGGGGATATTAATAATCACGCTTCCCCTAGGGTTGGCATGAGCAGTCGGAATCTGATTGGGTGCATGGGCCCAG